GCCCCCAGGGTCCAGCAGGGTGCCTGGCTTAGGGTGCTCCTGGTGGGTGCTGGGGGGAGGGGGCTTGCTCCCCAGGCGCTAGGAGAGGCTGCCAGAGCCCCTGTGCTCCTCGGAAAATGTCTGTGCGTCTATCTGTCCCCCGCTGTGCCCCCACCCTGACCCCTCTTCCTGCTCCCCCCCTACAGGCGTTTTCGGCGACAGGACGTCCGGAACGGCGACCCCAACACGCTGTGTTCTGGAGGTCAGTGTGCCCTCTCCCTGCCCCTGGGGTACCAGCTCAGCCCTTAGCCCTCTGCGTGCCCATCCTCCCAGAAAGAGAAGTGCCCGGACAGTGCCACTGCTGCCTGCTCGTGTGCCGCAGGATGTGGGGCGGGGCGCTCCCCCTGCTCACATGCCTGGCATGAAGAGACATGGGCACAGGTCATGGCCGTGTCTCTGCCCGCTCAGCACAGACGCCTTTGGGGGCGATAGCTCATGCCTGCTGCGTGGCCCATGGCTCTGGTGCATGCCAGCCACACTCTTCCTGTCCCAGCCACCCTGGTGCATTCGCTTGTGCCTGCTCCGTGCCACGTGACCCAAAAGGCTCGGGCATGTTCGCTCGTTCCGGTCCCATGGCCCGGTTGCCCCAGTGTGTTTCCCATGCTCACGCTCTCTGTGGCCTGTGCCCGGCAGATCCCCACCAGAGCAGCGTGCCGGAGAAGAAGCTGTATGGGGTAGAGGGCAGCAGTGCCTTCCTGGAGTGCGTGCCCAAGTCCCTGCAGGCCCGGGTGCTGTGGACCTACCAGAAAGCCAGCGACACCCCGAGGAAGGAGGTACCAGGCCCCCCATCCCCAGGAGCCAGGCTGCTTGGCCTGACCCACGTGCCGCATTGATACAGGGGCTTCGTGCTGGCTGTGCCCAGGCTGGTCAGAGCCAAGAGAGACAGGCTGGCACCTATCATACCCCAGGCTCCTGGATCCCTGTGCCCTCCCGGCTGGGCTCCAGCGTCCCCCTCCCATCCTCTGCCCCTTCCCACCCCCTCACTGCTGTGTATGCATGCCACATGGCCACCCCCAGCCGGACCCCTCCCAGCTGCATAGACCCTTCGGCCCCACCACCTCACTCTCCCCTCCTGATCCCTCCCTGGCGCGAGGACACCCAATCCAGCCTGGCCCTGCCCTGCCCCGCCCCGCTCCAGCTGTCCCAGCCCATCCTTCCCCTGTGCCAGCTCAGTCAGCTCCAGCTCTGAACCAAGCTCTCGGCACCTATCAGGCATCTCTTTGCCCTGATGCCCCTTCGGCCCATCCCCACCCAGCAGCACTGGCTCAGCCCATGGCCTGCTAGCAGCAAGCCCTGCCCCCGAGCTACCCAGCCCCGCCTGGGAGGCCAGGGTGGTGCGCTGAGGCACTGCACTTTGGCCCTGGTGCTGGCCCTGGTGCTGGCCCTGCTCCCCCAGCTTCAGCTCTGCCTTGTCTCCCCGGGCCTGCAGGTGCAGCTGGATGAGCGGGTGCTGCTGACGGAGCGGGGCATCCTCCTCCGCAGCGTGGCGCGCAAGGATGCCGGGCTTTACCACTGCCAGGCCACGGAGCATGGCTTCACCCAGACCCTCCTGCGCCTCTCGCTGGAGGTGATCGGCGCCCAAGAGGAGGCACCCGCTGAGCCAGCCAGCAGCAAGCTGTGGTACCAGGACTTCCTGCAGCTGGTGGACCACCCCAACCTCAGCGCCATGGATCAGGTCTGCCAGCAGTTGTGGGGCCGCACAAGCCACCAGCCCAAGAAGAAGCCACCCCGGCCTCCCCCACTGAGCATCCAGGCCAAACCCCACAAGTGGAAGTATGTGGAGGAGACACGGAAAGCCCGCAAACGGCGCACACACGAGCTGCCCCGCGCTGAGAGAGGACCCCGCAGCGCTGCCGCCTGGTGACCTGCCGGACTCCTGCTAGGAGGCGGAGGGAGGGGAGGGTGGGGAGAGGGGAGACCGGCGAGCCAAGCTGGCAGTGGGTTCCCTCTGTGCGTAGCTAGGTGGGGGTGGCCGCGCCCTTGAGACACTCTTCTCCCCAGCCAAGTGCGGGGGGAGCCCCCGGGGCCTGCCCCACAATCAGAGATGGGGGCCCAGGCCTCAGACCAAAGGCTTTGGGAGGCCAGTGGGAGAGGAGCAGGGGCCTTGCGCCATCCAGACACCGAAGAGGCCTCCTGGATCTGACCGTGCCCCAGCCTGGATCGTCCCCCGTGGGGCAGATCAATCCAGCAGGGACTGTTTTTGTTCGATTGGCCCTCGGCCCCTGCGCAACATCCTTTAACCCAGCCCTCTCCAGAGTCAGGAACCTCCCGCAGACAGTTCCTGGCAAATCCCTGTTTGGCATGCGCTAGGGGGCAGGGAAGCTGGTACCTGGGTTCCCCCTGCTCCCCTGGGGACACGACCACTGATGTATTTATTAATGGACTGTTACTGATGAATGTAAACCCGCCTCAGGCTGCACCCGTACTGGGGGGTGCTGGTCTGGTCCTAGGTACGTGGGCACATTCCTGGCTGGTGGCTTCTGGGATGGGTGTGTGTGGTCCCATGGTGCAATGGGGGTGGGGGGGCGCAGCAGGCAGGAGATCAGAGCCCAAGCGTCTCTCCTCACTTGGGCCGCTCCCTGATTGGAATTAGGGGCAGGGTTCCCGCCTAATGAGGCAGCACAGGAGAGAGCACTGTGTGGCTGGGAAGGTTCCAGCTTCCTGCAGGGTGTGGGGAAGGAGGAGCAAGTGACCCCAATGCCCCGAGTCTTCGGCCCGATCCCAAACCCAGGGCAAACTGATCTGTGGCCCCTGGGGAAGCATGGGGCGTGCTGGGCATTCGAGGCCAGGAGCCAGCTGGCCTTGAGGCCTGAGCCACAGAGTGGTTCCCCACGACCACCTCCCAAACCTGGCTCTGTGGAAGTGGAATAACCGCAGGCCTTGTGGAAGTGGGATCTGGGTCCAGACCAGGCACTTTCAGCCCGGCTCTGGCAGTGCCTGGCGGCCATTCTGGCTGCTGGCCATTTGTGACTGGCGCTGAACAGGTGAGCCCATCGCAACTGGCCTCCCTTGTTGGGTGTCACCACCGGAAGCCTGAGGCCTGTCTGGGGATGGAGAGCGGCTGTCACCCATAGGGGGGTCAGGGGAGGGGGCTGCCCTGGGGTGGAGGCAGCTTTCCCAGTTGCTCCTGGCCAGGGACAAGGCATTTCAGTCCCAGGCTGCGTCCGTGCAGCGCCTTTCACCAGCTGGGTAGCGCAGCGGGCTTCAGGTGACCAAGTCCCTTCACCTCTGTGGCCCCTCCTTCCCCTGGCCACGAGGCCCGGGGAACAGCCAGCGCATGGAGAGCAGTCACAGAAATGCTCCAGGTACGAGCTGCGTGTTATAACGTTAAGTCTGAGCCCTGGCTGGCCGTGCCCACACAGAATGGAGTGCATAGCTCAGCAGGCACAGCGGCAGGTCATCAAAATGGGACCTCTCCCCCGAGGATGAGATTTCAGCCCAGATCTACAGTGGTATTTAGGCTCCTAACTCCTGTTGTAGTCAATGAAAGTTAGGCTCCTAAAGACCTTGGAGGATCTGGCCTTTGGGTGGGTATATCGGTCGCGTAGCCCCTTCAAAACCTACCAGCCTGGGTCTCCTGTCTTTCCTCTCCCCTTTGGGTGTGATGCCACTGACCCTGCTGTGGAGACGCGGGTGAGCGAAGAGGAAAGCACCACTTAGGTTTTCAGGAGCCAGCCCGCATGGATGCGATCACCGCTGCGCTGACAGTGAGGCAGGAAAATAGGGGGTGGAAAGAGAAGGAAGGCGGCGGTCGCAGGCCGGGCGGGCCAGTGGAGCCCTGGTGTGGGAGAAGGGAGCATGGCACAGAACTGGACCCAGCCCGGCGGGACTGTATTATATTAACACAATAAAAGCAGTTGATGAACCCTTGTGCTCCTGTTTTTCTGAAATGGGGTGAACCTGCTTGGGCAGCACTTTGCCCCTGCTACGGGTGGCTGAGCCCAGAGCCAGGCTGAGGAGCCTGGGCTACCAGAGCTGCACTTAGCCAGGATCAAACCTGAGGCCTCGGGAGCTAAGAAGCAGGTGCCTTTGATGGAAGCTCCTGGGCTCAAGCAGGCTCAGATGCTCTCTGGGGGTTGGACCAGCAGGCAGCAGGTGTATGTGCAGCAGAGGGCGCTATTATAGTGTGCAGAATTGGCTCAAACGGCATCCGTGGGCAGGGTTGAGTCCCAGGCAGGGTTGGCTCCAGGCACCAGCTTCTCAAGCAGGTGCTTGGGGCGGCCGCTCCGGAGAGGGGCGGCAGGTCCAGGTATTCGGTGGACGGTCCCTCACTCCGCCTGGGAGTGAAGGACCTCCCGCCGAATTGCCGCCGCAGATCGCGATCACGGCTTTTTTTAGATCGCGATCGCGGCTTTTTTGTTTGTTTGTTTGTTTGTTTTGGCTGCTTGGGGCGGCCAAAACCCTGGAGCCGGCCCTGGTCCCAGGCCCCGGGAGGAGCGGGGGGGAGCGTGGGCAGGAGCGAAGGGACACCCAGGACTGATGGCTGGCTGGATCCTGAAGCCTGCTCGCTGCCCAGGCTCGGTGGGCAGTGATGCCCGCGTGTGCCTGGTCCCAGTGGCTCTAGCAGGCCCTGCTCTGGCTGGGGATCCTCTCTAGCTGTCTCTCCACAGGACAGGGTCATCTGAGTATGCGGCGTGACTGGTCCCTCTCCAGGGCTGGGATTGCACTGGGGAAAGGAGGAGGTCAACCGTCACCCAGCTCCTCTGCCCATCAGCCTGGAGGGCTTTGGGGAGGCTGGAGGCACCCCTCACATTTGCCCCATCTCACCCCCCACATCCCTG